ACATTCTGTCACATACATGCACACATACAGAAACACGCACACGCACACACACACAAACACACACACACACACACATACACACACACGCACACACGTGTCCCCACGCACGCAAATTCCCACACAAGCTCATCCAAAACAGAGAGGCAGATCTGTACATCTATGGGAGGGAGATGTTATTCATGATCCCCAGCAATAAGTACGGCTTCACCTGATTAAAACACAAGAAAATAAAAATTACAAACAGCAGAGGGAGTCATTTAGTCATTGTCTGTAAACTTCGACAGAATGTCCTTTTAAAGTCTTTTTAGGACTGGCCCACAAGGTGTCAAAGTTTGGCACAATGTCATGTCTCATATCGCTCTGTCTTTACCTCTACCGTACACTGAGATGTACAATATTCACGGTGGCTCTTGTTGGACAGACCAGTTTCTATGCACAAGTGATGATGAGAAACCACTGAAAGTTGACATGGTCAAACATATCAGCTCCCCAAAAGGAAAAGACAACCCTTTCCAGAGACAGAGAGTGTGCTTTAAACATACACATATATTCTTTAGGCAGTGAAAAAGCACTTTTGTTGACGGAGAACTCTGGAGTCTGGATGCTGCTTTGCCGATCTGATGCTCTGGCAGCCTTGAACTGCTCTTGACGTTTGAGCATGTCCACAACGAAATTCAATTGATGGAGAGAGAAAAACACAAATACTGCAGGGTTTCCTCTCTGGCTAGGAAAAGGGCATAACAAAGTTGTCCACTGACATCCATCCTGACGATGTCTGTCTTTTCTGCTTCTTGTGTCCACGTTTCACTTGTTTTTGTTGCTTTTGTTGTTTCAGTCAGTAGTCATGGAAAAAATCATAATTTCATAAGTGGCCCCATCAAAAACATGTGTAATATACACACTATATCACCTTTGAACTGTACACAGAAAATAAAAATGCTTTTTTATAAGTGAAAATTTAGAAAAGTACAAATAAAAAAAGATGTAAAAGAATGGCGACAAAAAACGAAGTCTTTTGAAGATGACATTCCTTGAAACAAATTCAGTTGCCTCTGTAGGCAAGGCCATCGCAAACAAAAAAGGGGGGGATAAAAGCAATGCTACGTTTGTCACTTGGGTGAAATGGTAAACATCCACTTCTTGCCTTGTGCCTGATGTGCTTTCATCTTTTTCTGTGCTTTTATTCCTCCTGACCTCCTCAAGGACCCTCATGCCATCTTTGTGTCTCTTCTCTTCCTCTCTCTGTCTTCGACAAAAGGTCAGGCCACTTCCTGCTCCTACAGAGTAAATGCTCACCTTCATCCGCTCCCCATTATTTCTTGATCCCATCTCTCTTCCTCCTCTCTAGGCCTCTGCATGCTCTCTCTACCTGGTCGTTTTCTCCCTTCTCTTCTTTCTATATTCCCCTGCCCACTCCTCTCTGATCCTTTCATACACACTTCTTCATATCTACTCCCACCTTATCCACTCACCGGTGCAATGGAGCTGACTTTGAAGAAATAAAGCGGTCTGAAAAAAAAAGAAAAAGGGAAATGTCGGCATGCACATGCACAGTCTCTCTTTGTCACTCGACCTGACTTCGCTTCGTAAACCCCACCTAGCTCTGATTTCCCACTTATTTTAGAGAACACAAATTTCCTGCCACTGGCTACGAGTTCCCGTTTCAACATGCCCCTTGCTGTCACCTTGTGTTAATCTGCTGTTGATCGCTTGCAAAAATAATCCCTTTCACACACGCACACACGGACTCTCTTTTGCCCCCCCCCCCAATCATCATAGTCTAACTAGACCCAGGAGTCAGGCGAGGCCGGGTAGTGGCTGGTCTCGTAGTTCAGTTCGCTGTATGGCCGAGAGGCCGAGTAGAAGTCTACGTAGTTGCCAGTGGATTTGAGGCCCAGATGCATGCGTAGGTCTTCCCGTGGGTCTCGGGGTGGTCCAGTGGAGCTCGGAGGCTGCTGGGGTTGGGCCTGAGGCTGGGCCTGCGCCTGGATCTGCGGCTGCGGCTGGGATGGAGGAGGTGGAGGTCCCTGGTCCTCGTAGTAGACCTCATCAAAGCTCCGGCTCTGGCTGTGAGGTGGAGGCTGCGGTGGCTGAGGCTGAGGGAAGGAAGGAGGGGGAGGGTAGGGGTCGTAGTCTTTTAGCACGGCTGCTGACGGGCTGTCCTGCTGGGGCTGTGGGGGCACCACGCAGGGCTGGACCGGAGCCTGATGGGGGGCCGGCGGAAGTGGCAGAAAAGTGATGTGAGGTGGGGGTGAAGTACAGTGAGCAAGAATGGAGAGTCATAAAAAATGTGAGTAGTGGGAGCAAAGTGAAAAGAGGAGAGGGAGATAAAGGTGGAAGGATGAAGTGGAGAGGAGAGTGGCAGGGGGAAAGTGAGCACATGGAGAAGAAGGGTTTGAAAGGCAGGCAGTATGGGTAAAAAGGCTCAGATAGGAATCAGTTGGGAAGGGACTCATGCTGTGAATTCTCTATTACATGCAGGCGTTGAAGGGGGCAATTTATCTCTAACACTGTAACTCTCACTTGCTAGTTGAGTGTTTGTGCGCATGTATATGTGTGTGTGAAAATGCAGTCATATGTGTAAAAATCCTTTTGCTCACACACCCATTTCAGTTATTTAGTAGAGTTTAACTGCCAGTGGTAAAACCAAAGTTTGTATCCAGACAAAGGAACATTAATTATGTATTTCATACAGACGATCAAGAAACCAACATTTCTGTTCTAATGTTCCTAGTCTCTTTCCCTTCACTCTTCACCAGCAGAGTCATTAAACAGAGGCGAATAATTAGCGCAGTCAACCGGGGTAGTGATTTTAATTGCCAGTCGGGTGTGGTTTCAGGTTGCAGTAGCGGATGCTGCCTGAGCTGAGGGCGTGTCTCTACTGCACACACTGCCAGTGCGTCTCTTATCACAGAGAGACACCTTCTGTGTGCATGTGTGTGTGTGTGTGTGTGTGTGTGTGCCTCTTCCATCCTGCTGCTATCTCTACTAATAACCACCTTGTCATGACAGCATATGCCAATTTATGAGAGCCCTGATGACACGCATGCACTGCTAAGACCTTCTGCGCTGGTGTGTGACTGTGTGTGCATATAAAAGTGTGTAGTACATTTATAGATCACTATTAACTCACCTGGTTTTGCTTAATGTCATCGCTGGCAGTCAGGTAAGAGTTTCGGAACAACGTAGACGTCCCGCAGGATACTTGGACTGGATGGATGGAGGACAGAAAGAAAGGCAACACTTTAATGTGAATGAATGATAAAGATGACTAGTACCACTACTATTGCTAATAATAATAATAATTCAAAGACATGGGAAACTCCACAATTGGCTTAGTCAAAAATCAGTTAATTAGAGTCCAAATCTTGCTGCAGTTTGTCTAAAAGTTTGGCAATTAGTCTGGCCCTCGTGGTCTCAAGAGAACATTGTGAGAGAAAGACAAAAAAATAAAGAGAATGAAAGAATAGAAAAGAGAGCAATTGATATAAAGAGATACACAGACAATAGAGAGAGGGAGAAACAGAATTGAGAAGTGAGAGGAGAGATTAAAAGATTCTGGACAGAAAGACTGGCGAAGATGGAGAAGAATCAAAGTGTGTGAGAAAGAGAAGAAAAATAGTGTGAGGTCTAAAAAAATACAGACGAGGGGAGAAATAGGGAATGAAAGTAGAAGAGAAAGAAAGATAAAGAGGGGGATAAAATAGAATCATTTAATTATTCTCTGTCTCTCCATCACACACACACACACACACACACACACACACACACCTGCCATGCCGTCTTTCCGGGATGTGTGCGATTGTTGGGGAAGAAAGCCACAAGCCTGTACACCTAACCATCACTTTGCGCCAGCTTGATTGTCTGAATTGAGAAAAAACGTGTGCCAGATGTGCACCAATTCAATATTCAACATAATGTATCCAAAAACGGGTATGTGTGTGTGTGTGTGTGGTGTGTGTGTGTGTGTGTGTGTGTAAAAATTCTCAGAAAAGTCCTTTAACGTGTTGGGAAGGTGACCCCTTTATGCCCGCGACCAAGCTAAATGATGAATAATGACTGTGCACGCTTAAAACGAAACACACAACAGCAACACAGCACCACACACAAATAATAAGCAGCGCGCTGATGTGAGGGCGCATGCCGGCTTCCCTGGGTTTATTGCCTCATTATTTTGTGTGTGTCTGTCCTGTGTGTGCGTGTGTTTTGCTGTGTGTCTGCAGTGCCTCAAGCGCAGGACGCAGGGAGGACTTACCACCCAGTCCCGATGAGAGATTTGGATAGAGATTCTCTGACAGGAACGCCAAGATGGGACGGTTGAATGTTGACACCTTATCCACAGCAACCAAACCGCTCGTGTTTAATTAGCCAACTCAGCTAACTAGATAGTGCAGAGCAACATCCATCCGCGGAAGACGCGATCCTGGTCCAGGAGCTGATGTGGTTGTTTGGTGTGTGCCTGTTGTGTGTTCTGTACTCGCTTCGACGCATGGGCACGAATTCGCCACAGAAATCCTCACATTCACTCTTTTTATAATGAAATACTTCTATTTTATGTATTCTCCGCCCTCTTTATAATACTTTCTTTCATCTTATCTACTTTCCTCACATATATTTTCTCCATCCCGGCAAGTCTGTATTTTTTTAGACTTCACCAACTCTATACTATACCCTCTTGTCTTCTTTCTCCACAGCTACTTTCGATTTTCACATACTCCATTCTATCGCCAGCAGCTCTTCTGTGCTGTCGCGAGTTAAATCTTTTAATGCTCTCACCAGGCTTCACTTTCCTCAATATACTTCTATTTTTTCCTCTTCTTTCCTTCTACACCTTAATTTGCTACTTTTTGTTGTTGATTTTTGTTTCTTCCTACACCACTATGCTTTATTATACATCAAAGAATGTGGCTCCATCTTTTTTGCCTTTTATCTTCTCTTCTGAGCCAATATCGGTCTTTTGAATTTTTTTGTTGTTTTCTTCTGCTCAAACAATTGGTTGTCTCTTATTAGAGTTATCCTTACTGTAGGTGCTTTCATGTACATACTATTGAACCAATATCTTTTATATATCTTCGAGACCCAAACTGCGCCACGCGCAGTTTATATCTTGGAAACTGCCTAAAATTAAAGCTGATTTTTGACATACAGCCAATTGTGGAGTTCTCCCAGATGTCTTTTTATTGGAATGCATATTTTATTTGAATAATTTATAATTAATATATACGAAGTTCAATGGGGTAGTTATGCTTGCTCACTGCTTATGTCTCCATTATCATATCCAAATTTTTAATCTATTTTTCCTCCTTTCACTTCACTCTTAGGTGAAGATTGGTAATCTAGGTATCTCTTCCTCATAAATCATACAATGACCCTACACCATGCACGAGTAAAAAAAGCGGGAGCAAACAGGATCCAAATGTCATTTGGGTTTCCTGCAGGTGCGAGGAGGGATGCGTCAGAATTAGGATCATATAAACTACAAGCAAACCATATACTCTGTAACACTGAGCAGGAAAGATGCAGAGAGACAATTTAAGCTATAAAACCAAGTGATAGTTAATAAGTTCGAAAACTGCGGACTTATATTTATAGATTTGTATAACGTAACTATCCAACTTTTAAATATTTGTGATGATCAACACGCAAGTCAGCACCCAACACCAGACCCAGAAGGTCTACTTAGAACAGTTATAGCATGCGTGTCATGCCAGGGCATACTACCTTAACAAAATATCCAAGGAAGCAATATGCCTCCGATACGCACTTTGCATCAAAGAGGTAGCGAGAGAGATTACTCAATTCTTACCGTTCTGTCTGAGTCTGTGCTGATTTATGACAAGAAGAGAGAATATGGAGAGTAGGCACACACACGATCAATAAACACCACACCAGCACACGACAGATGCACACTAAGAAAAAGGTGTCTGCGTCTGTGTAAGATTTAACGAACGAAACAGCTACTTGAGAGGAGCAGTTGTGCAGTATGAGCAACAAACGCCCTCAGCTCAGGCCGATTGTCATTTCCTGCTACCGTGGCATTACCTCGCGTCATACACACACTCGTAGGGCTAATTAAAAATCTTTACTCGGTATGATACAGAGAGCGATCCTCCCCATAAACAACCAAACAATCAACGGACGGAGGGGATGGGAGTGTGTTAAAAGGAGGAGACTTCGCACGGCTAGCCTTTCGAACCGAGTGGGGAGGCGCGGCGCGGCGCGGTAGGTGAATATCTGGGAACATTTGGCCGTTAGTCCGGACTAGGAGGATGATAACCAGATTGTCTTAGGTTTCGCTAATGGTATTGCGACGAAAAATCTATTGCACTGCACTGAGTGCTGTATAATAGAGAGCGCGGGCGGCTGGTGTACTGCCTACTATAAGCTGCAGCATACCACTGCGCTCAGAGCAAAATCGGCGATACTCTTTATTAATACGCAACCTAGACGCCCGTAACATCCCCCTTTTCTTGTGTTCCTTTAAACACACTAGTGTTGCTCAGATACATGATCGTAGCTGTGTTCACCACGCGATGTAGCGACCTTTCATATCCCGATCCTGAGGCTGCACCTCATTCTAAGCTTAGATTATAATCCAAAACAACAACCAAATTGTTCCTCATTTAAAAAACCGTTGTACCAGTCAGTGAATATGCCAAATTTGTACCCTTAAAATTGCAGAGAGCGGGCCAGTTGAAATTAAAGATCAGCCAGAGCAGGTTTGATTGGTTTAGGTTTATTATTGGTGCACTTAAGAGCATAAGACTTTTTCTGGCGTCTTTGTGTTATTGTCCTTGATCAGACTGGAATGTGTACTATTTAAATAGGATAATTGATAAAGGTTTGGATTGTCGTGGTTATGCTACAAATACATATTTTATATTCCACTGCGCACTGTTTCAGTAATAATCTTTGTCCTCATTAACACTGAGATATCTTTGACTACATAATATGTCACTCTTACGCCTCAAGAGACCGTGACAAGCGAAGTTGTAAGGTACGCCCTGCAGACTGGAGCTGACACACACCACCGGCACACACACACCGCAGTCAGGCGTGTTCCCGCTAGGATTTTACACCTTCCTGTCGCGCGTACTGGTGAATTGTTGTGAAGACATCTCGGAAGACGTTCACAGTTATACTATCAAACGCGGGAAACAAAGTGCATAGTCACACACTTAATATCAGGTGTTCGCAATGCATGAATCTGGGTTGATTATTGGAATCACCAGGTGAATTTTTTAACAAGTCCACTGGGAATTGGTAATCAGGGTTTGTTGGCTGGAGGTGAATTGTAGATATACAGAAGATTAGAGACTAATTACAGACAATATATTGCTGTTTAATAATAATAAATTAATATCAATCCATCACTGTATTACAAAGTACAAAAATGGGCCGAGGAACATAACGTTCCACTTATATTTCGTCGCCTCTTTGGCAGTCTGACTCCGTCCGAAGTGCTTTATAAAAGTCAGACTCCTGATGAAAAATCATTGATTAGCTCACTCAATAAAGCATAAAAAAACGCGGAGAAAGAGTACATAACTGAGCAAGTTATAGAGTAGATTCTAAAGTCACTATATGGCTCACAACACTCAGAGCTGACTGTCCTCCTCGCAAAGGTATGGCCGACATCAAGAGACACATGGTGGAATCGGCAGTATGAACAATACAAAAGAGATAGTAAATAGTTATAAGAGAGCGAGAGAGATTCTGGAATATGAAGTATCTTTAATTTATTTATGAAACAGATGAAAGACATAATATGACTTCACACCCTACAAAAACCAACCCTGAATCGAGAGTCAGTGAGCGAGCGGTTAACACGAAAATCACGTGGGCTGAATCAATAAAAGAGATCACACAAATATCAGAGCGGAGAGGGAGGACACACAGGACTAGAATGTGATCGTAAGGAAGTGAGAAGGAGTTGGAGAGAGTTGACTCATCTCAAGAGTTTACACATCAAACGGAGAATTCTGGGAAACACGAAAGAACAGACTACAAACGCGACGGAAAGATGGAGAAGAATCAAAAAGTGTGTTGAGAAAGAGAACAGAGAGGATAGTGTTGATGTTGGTCTTAAGATAAATGATTTATTTCACATGACCTGCCAGCGGAACCAATCGCAGGACATTAAGTCTTGGTGGTGTTAAGGGTGGTATCTTTGTTTATGGAAGAATAAGAAATATCATGATAATTAGAAGAAGGAAGAAAGAAACACAGTAACGTAGGAGGAGGAGAGAGGGAAATATGGAAAATTACATCGAACCTCCACCCACCACCACCCCATTTTAATTTATTCTCGATGAGAGATCTACTCGCCATATTACACATTTAATAAAACCAATAAAAAATGGAAACAATACCACGAAACATTCACAACAAACATTCATGACTAGCACACACACCATCCACTACAGCAAGCGGCGTGCCATGCAGTTTAAACAGGAGCCTGTTGCTTTATGCCAGCGGATGCAATGATTGTGTTCACCCTTCTGCGCGCGTTGGGTCCATACTCATATTAAGCCTCTTAATCATGGATGTGTGAGTGCTGTGCGTATGTGGTAGTGGAATTTCCGCAGAAAAGCAGTTTCTGTAGATGTGCTGTCTTATGAGTGAGTATAGTCTGTGTTCAGCGTCCAGGCCACACCACTTCTATCGAGGCGGATGTCAAGCTTACTTACAGAGACCGTCCATACCATCTCTCTCTTGGATGTGCATCGAGAGAGCGCTGGAGAGTCGAGGGGTCCCCCGTGCTTACCACCACGAAACCTGAAGTAGCTTACGAGCCAATCACACCACTTACTTCTTTCCACACGAAAACACATGCATGCCCAGTTAGTCCACGTCAAAAAATGCAAAAACTGCATTGTTACAGCCTAATAAACCAGAGCGGGGCCATGGCGCCTCATCACCAAGCATGCCAGTGAGGACGCACGATAACATATGTAAGACTAGACTATCCTGCTTCGCCTTGGGTGTTGTGGGCGTTGAAAGTGAGATGATGAGAATGATAAGCTTTTCTGCTTCCTTTTGGATTTAAGAGGTTCACTAGAGATACACCATTTCAATTCTATTTCCCCATTCTAAAATTTTACTAATACTTGAGTCGGCATACATTAAGGGTTCCACCTTTCTCAACTCAAAAGGTAGCACAGGACAGACGGAAGCGATAGTAATTGATGAGTGGTACTTTGTTTCCTCTCTATCGTGCGAGAAAATTTTCTTTGGTTTTACACGATCACACACTACGATCTATCAACTACACACACACTACACACACACATATCCCGTGTGTTCATTATTTTTGTCCCCGACATCCGATCCCCAATACCAATATTTTTTTATTATGAACCTTACTCGACACAAACTCTCCCCTCCCAGTAGTTCGGGTTCACTCACAATCGGACACAATCACTTCCACCTCGTCACACCTGCACATCCCGTCAATCATACATCAGTTTTACTTGTTCCTCAATCTTTCTCAAGGAACAATCAGCAATCACA